ATACAGGTGCCTGTCTGGTTGCTTTATAAAATCTGTTATTGATTTGTAGAATGAAAGTACAGGTTATGGAGACATGATACTATAGTCCTTTGGAATGGTAACCCTTTAGACGTTTGTTTAATAGGGCATAAGGATAAGGCGCTAACAATATTCGCTTGCTAAGCATTAGTTAAGGTTGATATGCTGAACATGACAGTGAACCCATTGCGGTAAATTCACCAGGAATTAACCACATTCGCATGCAGGGGAAACTGCGTGTAGGCAAACATGATATGAATACGACCATTCCTAGCAATGTAGCAATGAGGAATAACGTCCTCATTACTAGCAATCGCCGCTTAAGAGTTAGTGTTTTTACCAAAATTTTACTTTTTATCTGAATTTATTTTGAGGTTTTTGTTTCCAAAAATCTCAACTCCATATACCAAATCTAATCATAACGAACTTTAAAAATACTAAACAAAAATTACCCACTGAGTATTTAAACACGTTGACTTTCAGACAAAAAGAGGTTTATTTTTTTTTTTTAATTACAACCAATCATACAAAGATGGCACATTGCGTTTTGTTACATTAGAAACTTAAATCTAACACCCCCACTTAACAAAACAAATCTAAATATAGCTTATTTTAACTTACTAATGCTCAACTAACCAACACTTAATAAATAAACAAGCAAGCTATCAAAACAATATAAAAGTCTACTCCTAAGATGTAACCCCTAACATTTTCATAAATTTATAATGTTTAGTTGGTAACAAACCCTTGGTCAACAAGTCAGCAGGCATTTCTTGAGTTGGAATGTATTCAATTTCTATACTTTTATTCTTGGTTGCATCTCTAACATAGTGATATCTAACATCTATATGTTTTGACCTATTATGTGACTGATGACTTGTTGCCAATTTTAATGCACTTTGATTGTCACAATATAGTTTAATAGTTAATTGTTTACCACTAATTTCAAATAATAAATTTCTTAAATAAGTAGCTTCTCTGGATGCTTCTGATAGAGCAACATACTCAGCCTCGGTACTCGATAAAGAGACAGTCTTTTGTTTTCTGCTCTGCCATGAAATCACAGAACCATTCATGGTAAAACAGAAGCCAGTATAAGACTTTCTGTCTATAGTATTACTTGCCCAATCTGCATCAACGAAACCCTTCAAGTCCTCTGTATTATTTTTACTAAATTTTAAACAATAACTTTTAGTTTTTTGTAAATATTTTAACACTCTTTTAGCATAATTGAAGTGATTTTCATTGTAACATGTATTAAACTGGCTAAGATAACTCAATGAATAAGCTATATCAGGCCTAGTTAGTATAGCTAAATACATAAGACTTCCGATTAAATTTTGATACGGAATATTTTTTGTACATGTTTCAGACTTATCAAGATCCAGTTTACATTCGATAGGTGTGGCCACAGCCCTACAATCTGACATATTAAATCTTTTCAACAGTTCATCTATGTATTCCTGTTGGTGAATTGTTATTGTATTACATTTTTCATCCACATTTATGTGCATACCTAAGTATCTTTTAACAGTACCCAAATCCTTTAATTTAAACTCAGAACTCAACACAGTTATCAGTTGTTTTGTTTCTTTTACACAATTTGAGAATATTAAGAAATCATCTACATAGACAGTTATAATAATTTTAACATTGTCATTAATTTTAGTGAATAAACAAGGTTCAATTTTACTTGTTTTAAAGCCTAAATTACATAAACAATTTTTTACTCTTTCATACCAAACTAGTGAGGATTGTTTTAATCCATAAATAGCCCTTTTAAGCTTTAACACCTTTCCCTTACTTTCACCTGAAAAACCTTCAGGGATTGACATATAAATGTTTTCTTTTAAATGTCCATTTAAAAAGGCTGTTACAACATCTAGGTGTGTAATGTTCATATCCCATTGCACACCAAGTGCAAATAACATCCTTAGTGTGGAATGTTTAACAACAGGAGAATAAGTGTCCTCATAGTCAATACCTTCTCGTTGTGTAAAGCCTTTTGCCACAAGTCTGGCACGATAGCGCACTTCACTATTCACATCAAGTTTTTTATTTAACACCCACTTACACGGCACAATTGATCCATTTTGAGGAATATCAACAAGTTCCCATGCTTTATTGTCTTCAAACGACTGTAACTCCTCTTGGACAGCTCGTCTCCAGTATTCTGCCTCTGGTCCATGTAATGCTTCAGAAAAAATAATTTCAGCTGTATATAAGTTACGGGTACACATGTTACTCATGCCATATCTGTCAGGAGCTCTCCTAATCCTTTTATTTTCCTTTACTGAAACTTCTTGAATCTCACAATCTGAAGTGTCTGTCTCAAGATTTGAGATTATGGTATCATCCTCAGTATCATTATCTGGGTTTGTGTATACAGATGTAGATGTACTTGAGCTTAAATCATGCAGAGATTCATTAACTGAAATCTCCCCCACTGAATCTATGCCTTCTCCATTTATTTCTTCATTATTTTCTTTTATATCATTTTGTACCCAAATCATATTTTCTTCATTATTTATTTTTGCTTTTATCTTCTCTTCCATCACTGTAATATCTCTCTTTACAGTAACCATATCCTTTTCTGGATTATATAAGCGATAACCTTTCACTGTTTCTGAAAAACCAACAAGAATATATTGTTCTGCTTTTTTGTCCCATTTTAACCTTTTTTCTTTGGGAATATGTCCCATTACTGTACTGCCAAAGAGACGGATATGACTTAGGTTTGGTTTTTTATTATGCCATACTTCATAGGGAGTTTTATTTTCCAAACTTGAAGTTACAGATCGGTTTTTAAGGTACACCGCTGTATTTGCCGCTTCAGCCCAGAATCTTTTATCCAGCTTAGCATCAAAAAGTAAGCATCTTGCTTTTTCAACTACTGTTCTATTAGCTCTCTCACAGACACCATTCTGTTCTGGCGTATATGCATTTGTTTTTTGGTGTATAATTCCTTCATTGATCAAGTAATTTTCCATTTCTCTATTGCAAAATTCACCGCCATTGTCTGTTCGTAGTATTTTTATTCTTTTATTCTGTTGATTTTCAACCATGAACTTGAACTCCTTGAATTTTTTAAACACTTGACTTTTAAATTTCAGAAAATATATAAAAGTCATACGACTAAAGTCGTCCACAAATAGTAAAAAATATTGAGAACTGGCAATGGATTTAGTTTCCATAGGACCACATACATCCGCATGTATTATCTCTAGTGTTTTCATACTCCTCTGACCCACATGTGAAAATGGCAACCTCATCTGTTTACCTTCGCAACAGGTCACACATTTATCTTTCATGTCACTGGTAGAAGGATAGCAAATTCCATCAACAATGCCATCTCTCATTTTTTTTAAATCATTACAATTAATATGTGCCAGCCGCCTGTGCCACAGCTCTGCACTTGATACTACAGGAGCCGCCAGAATACAATCATTCACTTTTATGTTGAGTTTGTATACTCCATTACATGATGTAGCTGTTGCCACCAATTCATTCCTTTTGTTATAAATGTAGCACTGACTTTCTTCAAAAACTACATTGTTGCCGTTTTTGATTAATTCACTTACAGATAACAAATTAGTTGTCAAGCTTGGCACGCATAACACATTTTTTACGGTTATGTCGTATTCACAATTGGTCGATATCCTCACATCTCCGGAACACAAAACTGGCACCTTCATGTTATTTGCGACAGTGATCTCCATTAAACTTGGTGTAAAGTTTGCATTGTTTATCCAAGATTTATTCGCTGTCATGTGTGCACTTGCACCGGAATCTATGTACCACTCACTTTTACTATATTCACCATTTAAGAATACCACGCTAAAAGCATTAGATTGTTTATTTTTGTGCATTAATGGACACTGGTTTTTATAATGACCGGCTTGTTTACATCTATAACAAATCACAGTTTTCCCGGTTGTCACTTTTGACGTTGACAGATAGTTATTTTTGCTTTTTGATTTTTGATGCGTTTTGTTAGCAGCGAATGCAGCGCCACTGGAATCCTTGTCAATACTTGAAACCTCCATATCGATTAATTTCGATTTTATAGCGTCTGTGGTAATCTTAATACCAGAGTGTTCTATTGCCATAATCATGGGTGAAAATTTTTCTGGCAAACCTGCTAATAACAATGAGCCGATCCATTCTTCGGTAATTGAAAATCCTGTGCCCTTCAATTTCTGAGCCGTTTCGACAACTTGTGTCACATATGTAGTCATATTATCACAGTTCTCTTGTCGCAATGAGATTAAATGCCGTAATAAGGTTATTTTTCTTGAAAAACCTGAATCATCGAACATGTTTTTTAGTTTCTCCCACAACTCAGAAGATGTTTTGGTTTCTTTAATATGCACATACAATCCCGGATCTATTGTTAACACTAGCTTCGCCTTAGTTTTAGCATCTTCTGTTGGTTTTATGTCGATTCCTGACTCTGGTTTAATATAATTAACCATGCCTTCGAGTACCAACAAATTTTCAGCTGCATAACTCCATTCATCATAATTTTCTCTCCCCTTAAGTTTCGGAACACTTTGAATATAGTTCGTAGTCATATTTATACGAAAGTTCAACTATTTCAAACTGTAATAATCACTTGTTTTTAAATTATTATTACTGAAATACGGATTATTGCCCATAACCTATTTAAACACGTTGACTTTCAGACAAAAAAAGGTTTATTTTTTTTTTTTAATTACAACCAATCATACAAAGATGGCACATTACGTTTTGTTACATCATTTACATATGCGCTTATATTGCGTTTTGTTACATTAGAAACTTAAATCTAACACTGAGAGGGATCATTTATCAAATTGCTTTAATCACTGCACACAAACGCAGCGCAATCTCAGAAGATGTTTAATTTTCTATGTGAAATTTTCATAAAACCACCACCAACATACAGTGCAAATTTTACAAAATATTATGATTTTAGTACTTAATATTAAAGGGATACTCACAATAATAAGATGACAGCATCGACAGTTGAAGATCATTGTCATCTGAAAGAATGTGTGTATTACACTACGTACTTGTGCATGAACTAGCCAATTATTGTGTATAATATACAACGGTTTATTTAAAGTAAAACATACATAAAAAATAATCATCAAGAGCGGATGCTTTCATATTTACATACACTTGGTAATAATAAATAATTACTTTTAAATTTTCATACACAAATTACTTAAATGTAGGAAATGTATATTTTAACAAGGACAATACTCATTATTTATTCAATTCTAATTATATATGTAATTATTATAATAATATATGTTATATAAAATTAATTTCATCCATACAAATATTACAAAAAAAAAATTATTGTGCGTTTGTAGAAAGACTGCTCAAACTCAAAGGCTGCTTCACTGAGGTACATATAAAGGTAATAAATAAATAAAAGACCTATTTATTTATTACCTTTATATATACCTCGGTGAAGCAGTCTTTGAGTTCACTCATTACAAACGCACAATAAAAACTTTATTATAATATTTGTATAGATGAAATTATATTTATATAATAACATTGGAATTATATTAATTATCTGATGTAAAATAATTGCTACAAAGATAGTCATCTATGGTGTTAATAAAACAAGTATTATCCTTGTAAAATATATTATGTAATAAAAGTAAATGGAAGTTAATTAGGGGATTGTAAAGTGTAATATGTTGCTCTATTTAGTGAGACTATATTTTTACTACTACATCTAATAAAACTATATGTTTTTGTGGTAATAGTACCAATATTAGTGCCAATTCTGTAACTAAAATTTTGGTGTGTGCAATGACAGTTAGTTGCAATACATTGAAACTAAACTTTATGTCAGAGGCTTAAAGATTAGTTTCATAAACCTGCATACCTGTATATGCAGTTCCATCAGGATTTCAGGCCCATAACCTATCTGTAGTAATACTACTAAAATAAATTGTGTTATTGCGTTTAAAAGCAGGAAGGAATTAAAACTATATTACAAGGATTACATACACAACACAACCCATCAGCTTTATAGTACAGCAGAATTAACACTAATATTATAAAAGGTAAAACATAACAAAGGGAAACACAACTTAAGTGTGGCAAATGGTATAGGGTAGGACAGTACCGCTTCACTTTATTCCGTTTATATATATATACTATATATATATCATTAGAATGGAAAACAGGATGGCAGTCCACATTATAAGTGGTAAACTCAATCTAAGTTCTCTATCTAAATCTAAGTAACTTTCACATGAACAGCACCACAGATATCAAATTATCATGTGATATGGTTCCATACATGCATTGCCATCTAGAGGACTAAAATATACCCTGTAATTTCACTGCCATATATCACCCTTCAATCGAAATTCATCACATTAAACATGTGTTTGAGGACTGATTGATGAGCAATTATCACCTAAACTTTGAGTAATTGTACCAACTATTGTGGAAGGAAATACCAACAACACAGGGACTTTTTAGCACAGATATTAGGGTGTATAAATGAAGATTATTGTATAAAATTGAATAAATGTTATTATAATATACTTACAACTGTAAAAATATCCCCAATTTGGCAGTCCAACGGCTATAGCACCCACTATGAAGCAGATGAAGCCGAGTATGACCACTGCTATAGAATACAGTGCCTTTTTGTTGGCCATGACTGCATGACTCAGCCAACCTCGTGGGCCCGGCTACACGACATCAGGAAAGGTTGACTGATGCCCGATGCCTTCTTAACCTCATCTGGTACATCTGTTGATATGATATGACATATTAATATTCTTATATCGATTTTAATATAGATTATTATTTATTGGAATATTAAAATAGATTAATATTTTCACATACCACGTAACTAGTAACCATGATAAACTCAATTTTATTTTTTTAAATATATATATTGTAAAGTTGAAATTTACAGTGGGGTTTTCTACTTATTTAATTTATTTAAGTACTAGTGTGTAATATGTTGTCTTATGTATTCTTCTTTTCATTTTCTTTTAAGTCTTTTATTATTTCTTTCACAAACAATTTTTGTAATTGCATCATAGGTTCACAGTATATTTTGTAGAACCTGAGTGTTCATACTCATGTAATATTTTTGTTGTTAAACCAATTTAAATTTAACATGCACAAAATTTTAAGTGATGTTTATATATAAGATTCACTAGTGCACACAAACAGCTAACAAATATTTGCTATTTTATTATGTTGATAAAGCCCTCCTATAAAAGTTTTTCTTCTATTTCATGTACAGACTGTGCTTAGTTGCATTTTTATTATGTGTATTATTTATTAATCAATTCCACTTAGTAATATTTTAATTTATAGTCTTTGAACTATTGAAAACTATCTACTTGGTATGTGGTAATGTTTATTTTGGATAAAATATTTTTTCATGTCTATCTTCATATATCTTACTTCATATAATTATGAAGTAAGATACCTTACTTACGTAATAAGGCAAAAGATTTACATTACAATATCTATTGAAATGAGAAGGTTCTCTATTTTACTAAGTACCTTGTCAGCATATAAATTTATTCTCATTGCATTACATTCTAAGCTATTCAGTATATTTATAAATTAGGAAAGCCTAAATATTTTTAATATGTCCCCAAAATCATTTCACATTAGCTATAATCTTATTGAATTATATTTTAGGCATTAGAAATTAAGGCACAGTAGAATGCCATATAATGTTATTAAAAACTAAAAATAAAAGATATTTCTCCAACTAGAAATTATTTTGTAATTTTTTTGTGAACTTTGTATAAAAAATATTTTCATTTGCCACATATCATTCACCCTGGCTTTGTGTAATGATATTTTATACCCATGATTATTTGAGAATTGTTGATGAGTAAATAATAATATTAAAAAGAAACTTGGATGGAAACTACACCAATAAGGTGAACTGTTAATTTAAAACTGATACATTTAACACTTATCTTTAAATATGAAGACATATCATTTACTAAATTTTAAGGAAATATTTAACGCATCTTCTTAATAAAACCCGATATCGCAAATTGATGATGGGTTGCAAAACCCTAGTCATTAAACCTGCACAATGCTGTCATTGAAAACCGGTCTCAGGCTCAAAGTAAGCGGGGGCTTAGGAATGTTAAATCAAAACACAACGAACGCTGTTGTCAAAATTTTCTTATTGGAAACTACGATATTCCAATAAAAATCTCACTAGAAAACTTCGACGAAACATTTTTTAGCGTGGTAATTGAAGCACAAAGCGTACAATGGACAGGAACAGTTATTCTGATGTTACTTTTACTCACGTCTATCTCGTAATGTCGTCTTGTAGAAATCACACGAAAATCACTCAAATATTGCGCTAGTTAAACAATTACAATTTTACACTAGGTAAATAGCATTATAAAAAAATAAAACGAAACCAATCACTTGTTTTTATTTGAATGGACGCAGTTAATTCGAAATTTAAACACGACACACCTATAGTTTATGTAGATAGAATACAAAAGGTTAATGAAACACTAGAATTTGGACGTATTTTTATAATAATAATACGTCACGGAGAAGTAACTGTACCGTAAAGTTCATAGATTACAATCTCCGTGAGAAAACACGAGCAAAGCAACAAAACTGCAAACGGAATCACCAAAAGCACTACACGATTACGCTAGCGAATTGCCGCGCGCGATGTGTACAATAGTAGATGTGTTCGGTAAATAAACTGGTTTTTTGATTTCAACTTTGACTGGACTACACAATGCGGCGAATGAAGAAATATATCGAAGTATATCGTGCTCATTCTAACCGTATGCATTTTAGAAATGTAGACAAAGACATAGATAGTGTAGTTTACAGAGTAGTAGGCAATGAAAACATTTCTTGACGATACTGAAACAAATATCTAAAACAATACTATTTTAATAATAAAAACCATAGTGCTACAATATTATTTTATGATATTTTGTTAAATATATAAGTAAATATTACTGCTTAATATATAAATGTTAATTTCTGAACAGAAACAAGTAAAATGTCAAACAAGAGTCAACGTTCCTATCTACGCAACTAATATTTTATATTCATGATTAGAATTGAATGAAACGGTTATATGTTTAATAAAGTTTGTCTTACTTTATTTTAATGTACCAAAAGCGTAAATACATTGGTACTGAATTAATATTTATTATATTTTAAATATGTATTTTTAGACTGAATGTTTAATGAAAGACTTTTGTTGTTCTTCTTGCTAAGTTAGTAAGCACTTGCCTACATATTATAGCTAGATGTGATGAAACCGTAAAAATGTGGAAATAATAAAAATATCATAGGTGGCATAAATTACTGATGTTTTAAATTTTTCTTACAAGCTCTTAATTTCATAATATGTACATTGCATGATATGCAACGAAACCCTGTTGCAAAGGTATAGAGGCAAAGTTTTTACAAGTTTAATGCCACGTTTGTTTTCCTAAACTATATTTAATGATACATTGATGAGAAGTACGTTGAGAATTCTTGATGATGGGCACTAAAAGCCCCATTGCCAGCTATCACTGTACATACCAGGTCGACCTCCACGCGGTTCTCCTGAGAAGCATCGTCATTGATCGATGGTAAATTAGTCACGGCAAACTAACCTGTCTTCATCGTCATATTAATCATGGTACCTTGATAGAATATACCGTTAGTACAGGTGCAGGCGGGCGTAGGGGAAAGTGGGGCAGATTGGGACAAGGGGCACATTGATACACGTGTATTATTTATTAGTAAACGATTAAATGTATTCGAGTAGTGACAACTCTGAAACACGTCTTTAAACTTCTGAACGCGACCGTTGTGATTACGCTAACAGCCAGTCAACCGGTGGCTTTTAGCAGGAGAGAAAATGTTTCGAGCGCGGGTAACTAAAAAAATACGTGAGATTTAAAAGTGTTTTTACGATCTGCTGAGCCATCTTGTGATGATCAATGTATCCCAAAGGTAAGTTAGGGCATCAAATATTAAGGACTTTGCACGTGTTTTACAATAATTAACTTAGTATCTTTAGTGAAACCTGCTTTTTATAAAAAATATTTTTGGGGAAGTTTGATACAGAAAAGTACGGGGCACAATGATACGTATCAATGTTCCCCGTGACTTCAATAAAGTGTTAATTTTGTAAAAAAATTGTATTGTATTTTCAGAAAATGGTGCGAACATATAAACCAAATACTGAAAGACGTAGTACAGGTGAAGACTCGATCAAGTGGGCCGTATCTAAAGTTATTTCAACGAGATTATCCGTACGGAAAGCAGATGACAAATATCTAACTGGAACTCTACAAAATCGTGTTGAAAAGTTTAGTTTTAGAATTTATGTTAACCTATTAGATTATTATATTTATTTTTTAATAAACGAGTCAAGTATAATTTGTTTTTGTTTAGCGATCCTGTTTTGAATAATGGTGATATTCTGAAGTATTAGTTTTGTTAAGAAACAAGTGTTTTTTTTTTGTTAAAATGTAAAACTGATTGTAAATTAATTATTTCACAATAAATGTATTATTTTACATGATAGTGTTATTATTTAAACCAGATTCATACAATTTCCACTCTGTATCAAAGTGCCTCAATGCGTGTATCAAAGTGCCCCGTAGGTGGGGCAGAATGATGCAAAACTGTTTTTTTACTGAAATCAATATATCGTTATATCTAATATAATTAAGCGGGTATTTCGTACCAAAACATAAACCTGAATTGTTGACCAATGCACACGGCAAAAAAAAAGTTAAAATGTGATGTTTTTAGTATATTAAAAAAGGCTTTGAATTTTTGTGCATCAATCTGCCCCACTTCCCCCTACCATTCCATTATCATCCACGAAAATAATCCCGTTATATTTTCTGTGCCGTTTATTTATGTGCCTATCAACATTTATGCCTAACGTCTACGCAATTAACTTAATTAAAAAATAGATACTTTCATCTGAAGAAATTATAAGTATACAAATTACCGTCAGTAATATTCAGGGTTGAGTTAAAAAAACACAATCATACATTTTAATACGCATCTGTATATTCGTGTTACTTACAGAAATTGTGTGATTGAAATACATAGGTATATCAGTTATTTCGGAGACTGTGAGGCCGATCTATTTTCAGTATAGCGTTTCAGTAGAGGCGTCTGGTTAAATCATAACAATTGCTAATAAATTTCATGTGGTGTACTAAAAAAACGTATTAGTTATTATAAATTCAATTCAATGGTTTAAATTATATGGTCTATTTTAATCTGGGCCAATTGAATTTCAGAACAAGTAGCGCTATTTTTGTGACTTGCTGTTTTTTCTACTCGAGAACGTTTTTTTAGGGCTTGAGAAGAACTGCAAATACAATTACCGAGGAATTTTATTTTATTTCGTCTGTTGGAAGTACAAATTAAATATTGCAAATGTTTTCTCGATTGAAGCTTGTACAAATCATTGTTTTAGGATTGTCTTCAATTGTTCGTAAGTATGATATTTTAATTCAATTAGTGTAATAATTGTTAGTTTATATAATAGTTTTATACATATATCACCACTTTTTTACAGTTACTATAGTGGATGCTACTGGCAATGATGTAAGTTTATAACCGTTATATTTTTTTTTTAATATATAGTTTTTGTTTAATAGTTTGTCTTTTATTCTGTACATTTATTATATTCTTAGATAAATTTTTAATTCTCATTCTAGCGCAATAATAATGTAACAGATCTGTATTCTGTTCGCTAACTTAATTGTTTTTTTTTAGTATTTGGAGCTTTGATTGTGAATTATGTATTAGTCATAGTAATTTATTTAAAATGTACCATTGTATACTTAACGTGACCATACCATTCCCATTTTTTGACATAGGCAATTATAATATATAAAAAAATACATATAAGAAGCGTAGGTACCAAACTAAAATAGTAAGAAAGAGTTCAAACACAAATAGCGAGACTTTTTGTTTTTGGACTCTTTCTATTTAAGATATATTATATATATTTAATAAAATATAAGTTACTGTGTATTATTATATTAAAAACAAATATATTTATAATGTTACAGGGATGTGGCGTAGATGGTGACTGCTTATCTACTCCCATAGACTGTGGCGAAAAATGCGGTTGTGATAGGTTTGTATCTATTACAGAATAAATAAATAAAGTATACATATACAGAGATAAATAACGTCGAATTAGGTTAAAACTAAGCGTTTTAGCGCTATATACTTATCAATATACGAAAGTTGTTTAGCAGTGTTTTTCACGCTGTTGTTTTATTATACTCCCTAAACTTTTCTGGTAAAAGTTTATAATTTAGGCACTAAAACACCCAATTTTAATATTCATTTTCAGAGCATATTATTACAACAGTACAAGCAAACAATGCGTTCTAGACGTAAAATATCTGATGCAAACCATAATAACAAAATATGATTCAAAAGGTAAGATTCTTTATGTGCTTATAAAGAGTAGATTTTATTTTTATCGGAATTTAATTTTCAAGAAGATATCATTCTGTTTTTATAAGCATAGGAACTATAATAGGTCAGAATTTCATTTACTAATTTTCACTAAATAAAAGAACAATACTAATTAAGCACGGTGTTTAGAATTTAATATGGATAATTCTTTAACTATGTAACTAGTATGTTTTAGGAAGCCCGCCTCTGAATATATAAATTCTAAATTTATATACTTAAAGTTACAGTTTTATGTAGAACTTTTGTTATCATATTTTTGTGAAAATTGTGTCAATAGCGTAATAAAATTACGAACAGAATATGATGACCCTATGCAATTTTGTATTTGAGTTTCATTCAACTCTCCAGTTTAATTATTTATGAAGAAATTTAATTATAAAAATGTATAGTAGATTACCTACCCGCTCCGGCTTCGCACAGGTGTACATATGTATTAAACATCTAAAACATTGTCTTGAATTACTCTATGTATTACTAAAAACTGCATTAAAATCCGTTGCGTAGTTTAAAAGATCTAAGCCAAAAGACGGAAGACGGAAAAGCGGACGCGACTTCATTTTATACTATGTAAAGTTTTTCTATAAAAAGGTACCATTTCTATGTTACAGCTTAACATAGAAATATATGCTTATTATGTACTATACTTACTTATGCATAATATAATTAATATAGTGTTGCGCAATTTTACAGAACAGGATAGCACCATCGATAATGGAATGACAAGTAAGTTGTTCTGAAACTAAACTTAATTGTACATTTTTTAATACTGCCTATTCTAATATTCTGTTCTTTAATGTTGACGGCTTGGCAGTATATCGTATACATCTTATTATAGAAAATGTAAAGGATATAAAAAAAAAAAAATTATGAAATTGAACAACTTTTTGAATCAGAATTTATGATTCAAAAAGTTCTTCAATTTCATAGACATTTTTCATTGCAAACTAGGTGTATATAGATATACTATGTATCAATTACTTATATACAGTTTCAATACACAAGAATATGTAAGAATATACCAATAACTTGAAAAATGGTACAAAAACCATTTTATATCGAATCCATAAACTGGATTTTATAATTATTTCACTTAATACTTACGCTTCCTCCGTAATAAGAACTTTGATTATTTTTCAGGAAATATAAAAGTCGAAGCCGAAAGAGTTTTCAAAGGAATTATTGTGTCGGCATTAATTTTTATATCATGTGCATCTGTATGTGTAGTTACAGCGTGCTTTTACTGTGTTCGTATAAATTACACGTAAGTAATGGTTTTACTGTTTATTAAAAAAATCATTCTAAGACAAGCTACTTATGTAATTATAAATTATTAATAATTTATTAGTAACATACTTAATTGTTAGAACGGCGTAAAATGAAACAAGGATATAATGAGTCACTCACTTCTTTTCATGTCCAGGATAAAGTAATAGCTAAATAGTATAATGAATTAGAAAGTAAACTTTGAAATAAAATGTTATAACGAATTCCGCTATTTCGCGTTCTAGTAGTAGGTACCTATATCTTTTTACGAATAGAAATCTATAGGTATCTAGCAATGTTACTACATTATACTCAATATTTCTATCATTTCAGAGATCGCAAGTTAAAAAGCGATGTTAAAGCTTTAGCTAAGAAGTTGAACAGAAATAAAAAAAGCAAAAAGTCAATAGTGAAGCCTCCACAGTCACCCGAATCACAAAGTTGTAATGTTATAGTGGAAAGTGCCGGTGTTTATGTAGTTTAACATGAATGTGATAATGTAAATAAATAAATTTATTTAAAATATCTTGTTTAGTATTGGGAATTAAATAATAAAAGAAAACAATAAACTAAAATATTTACATTTACCTCTCATCATGGTTACCATACACAAAAATAATATTATTTTTTAATAACTAGACTGCGAATAATGTTGCTTAATATTTTAGTGAGTTATGGTCGATATTCTGTTATATTATATAGAAGCCTTTCCTTTTTAAAATGAAATTGTTTAAATTACTACAAGTATTGAAGTGATTGTGAGAATGAATTTCAGATGGTTTGGTTTCTAAACGCAGCACGAAGAAAAAGGTTTGATGTTTCCAATATAACCAATAACGATTGAGAATGTATGACCTACTTTATTTTCATTGGTTCCTGGTCGCCAATTTTCTCTATTCTCATTTGTAGAATTTCTAACATATTTAAGTCATTATTATTGGTATAAGCAATATTTATTAAATTAATTTAGAATAAGAAATCTTTTCAAGTAAATATTATCTTATCAATAACAAGTTTTCTTAAGTGCGTACTACAATTCAAAAGGTACAACATTTTAAATTAGCATTCTTCTACATTTTGTTTATAATTTACTTGCAGAATTTAAATAACGCAATCCAACTTTTCTATATTTCAGTAAACTTTTTAAGTATTCTATTGGTGCCTATTTGCTGAAAATCATAAAAATGATTGAAGTCAGTCTCTTGGATATGGTGATTGTGACCATGGGAGTGTTAGTTACCATGGCACTATTGTGTTGCCTATGTTGTTTGTGTATGAAGTTCAGGTGAGTTCGATGAATATTTATGTGTCTTCATCTTTAGAATGTAAGTCCAACAATTGTTAGCTAAATAGAAATTTCCAAAGCTAAGATGTAATTCTAAAGGTTTTGATGTCAAAGTAGGAAAATGTAATATCATATTATAAACACTAAGTTCATCATTTGCATAACACATCGTCGCGGGTTCAATTCTCAAATTGGTGTAAACATTTATAGTTATATGTCATTTTGTTTTCTTTGATACATCAAATTTTTATATTATAATATATATATCCCTAATATTTAATTTAGTTTCTAATTGAGAAGAACTTTCTAGAAACACAATTGATTTTTTTAAAGTGTAAAATATGTAATAAAAAATAAAAATAAGTCTTTATAAATTACAGTGATCTCCGCTTGAAGTGTTACATAATAGAAACAGCAAAGAAGAAAGGCATAAAAGTAGACCTTGACAAGCTGAATCCCAAGCATGAGTGTCAGTCACCACAAGCCAATGAACACTGCACCATCATGGTTCCCGATGTTGGTATAATACTATAGCTTGTAAGAGGTAATCTTTATTTTTGAGCTATTTTGCTCTATGGTTATTATAAAAGAGATTTAGTATGTTCTACAATTTGAACTACTACTGTATTGTCAAAAATTGCTTTCATTGATAAAGTATTATTGGTGAGGTAAAAGGATTTTATGCTTAAGAAAAATCTTGTATGCAAACTTGTTGTGCTATATTTTTTCTACTCATTGTAATATTGATGGGGTGTTGCATACCACTTATTGCATGCTTGATAAACTGTCTTAACTAAAAAAAAACATCATAATAAATTTAAAGTTGGTTTTTCAATGTAATTTATTATTGAGCATGCAATATGGTTTTAATTACAATGATACGCGTCAGATGCGCGCTGACTGAGACAACGCACAAATAAGCTTAAAGCATTTTTTTATAGGAGCAACTTTTCTGTATGCTGCTTAGAGCAGTTGATAAAACTTAGCAGAGTCCAAGTACCTGTTGTCTTGACTTAAGTAGAGTAAAAAAATTACATGCTTAGTAGAATCTGTGTCCATTGGCATAAAAGATACTCTGTAGCAATAAATTAACAAAATAGACGCTATTGCCACAGAAGTGGTATTGTATAAAACCACTATTATGTAGATCAGTACTAGGAATGAATATTTGAAAATAGAATTAGATCTTTAATGTAAAATCAGAAAATGTATTGTTTTTTAGAATTCTGTGTTTGATTTAAAATCAGAATATACTTTTTTAATACTAAACAGTATTAAAAAAACATATTCTGATTTTAAAAAAAGAATGGGTTAAACTGTAGTAAAGTATGTAATCACATTGAGGTGACCTATTTACTCGTAATAACGTTTAGACTTTTCAAATTTCTAAATTAGATTTTAAAATTAGTATAAATAGAGTATATATTAATATTACATAGCAAGTTGTTGTCATCTTACTTAAGGAATTTAAAGAAAATTATGAATTCTGTAGTCTGTTCTTCTGGCATAAAAGATTGGTTTAGCCAATGTTAACAAAATAACGCTATTCCACAGAAATGGTATTCTATAATTGTATATTATTAATACATTCTCTGGGGTAATGAATATTTGAAAATAGACAATTATTCATCTTTAACTAAATTAAAAATGTATAAGTTTTCCTATGTTTGATTTAAAATCGGAATATCTTCTTTTAAACTATGTATTAAAAAAACATATTCTGATTTTAAAAAAGATAAATAAACTGTAAAAAGCAATAATACATTATAAAGCTTTTGCTCCTAAGAATATCCTTCAATTTTCAAAGGTCTAAATTAGATTTTAAAATTAGTATAAATAGAGTATATATTAATATTACATAGCATTTGTTGTCGTGCTAGTATTCTGGAATTTAAAGAACTGTTGTAAAAAAATACTATGATACTTTTCAAATCATTAACATAGATCATAGTTTAAACCCTAGGCTAAACCTACTTACACGCCTGTTAGAACTTTTACATACAAAAGGGTAGCTTATTCAAATAGTTTAAAACCAACAAACATGATTTGATTAATTAGGACATGAACAGAGAATCAAAATAAGCACATAGAATGTGCAAGATACATATTTAATTGCTCTAATCCATGCCTTGTATCTTCATGGGATTTGATAATTCTTTCTTAGTTAGAAACATGTAGTAAAATGTAGATGTTATTTATATTATACTCAATTGAAGTTCCTATCTATTAGAATTATAATATATACTTAGTCGTATTATTCATAAACTTAGTATCTTATTTACAATATTTATATTAAAATAATAATCAGGTTTACTTATATTTATTAAGTAATACAATTACTAAAAAATCCAATTTTCAATAGATAAATTGTACGGTTTTGAGGTTATGTATATACCATTTTCAATTACGAATTGTTTAACATAGCTTGTAAATGCAATTGGGAACTCTCAAATACTTCATATAAAAATGCAAATCTATGGATTTAAATCTGTTACATAATCAGAATAATTAATTTGCAACAAATATGGTTTCGAATAACAATTGTTAGCAACAGGGTTACATAATTCTTCTTTCTTCTTTGTCGATTCCTCAAGGCTGAGGGACGTGATCACTAAGATTCTTTTTAAACTTTTAACCAAATCTCTCCATTATCTGTCATAATCAGAATTTACTTGTATGTATGCAAGAATCCATATAGGATTTTTCTCAAAAATACTCATTTCTAAGATCTCAGAAATAGTTATTAAGAGAAATTTAGCTGTTCTTAGGTATGTATTATGTCTTGCGAATATTACAAAGACGGTAAAATAATTATTAAATGATAAGCTTTTACTACTATTATATACTAAGCCGAAACACAGGTTGAATACTCATGAAATTGAACTATATTCACCAAGAAATAAAGTGTATTTTTGAAAATCACTTGAACTAGAAGCCGTCTGTGTAGGTACACACCTCAAATAATTCAGCCGCCAAGCATTTTCTTTGTAAAACGTGTTTCGGTTATAATACAAATAATTATTACGGCAGTAATGCAATTAGGCAGTGAAATCACAGTATAAGAGGCATGATATCTTAGTACTCTGGAATGGCAACGAATGCTTCAGGTGTAACAGGTGTCACATGATAATGCGATGACCGCGGTGCTGTATATCTTCTAAATTTCCGTATCTTCTAAAATTCTTCTAAATGGCCGTGCTTTTTGAACGTAGATTTAAAAAAAATATTTTCTATATTCCACTTTATTTCTTGGGATAAGTTGTTATAATGAGTTATCATTGTCTTTCGGCTTAGCATATATATATATATATATTTATATACAGTAGAGCAATTACTATTTTATTAGTACTGATTTTATACACTTACATTAAAAAAGTAATTTAGAATGTATTCTATAGAGAGAATCTTGAAAACAGGTATTCTATAAGTAAGCAATTGTCGCCTTACTGTCGTCTCGTCTGTATTAACTAAAGTTTTTTATTGTTTAGTAGAATACTTGTAAAAGATTCTGATATTGTACCCAAAGCTGTATGGTGACACTGTCTATGACTGGTGTCATGTTACGAAAAATTAAAAGTACTGGTAGTCTTGTGCATAGTTTGCGACTGGGATCGCTCAATGTAGTTCGTTCTCCTGCGTTCATTTTTTTAGTTCGTTCGCTCGATACTTAAATAAAATAAACGCAGTAGGCTTGTCAATATTTACGCACATAAATATTTTTCCCGACTACTTGTGAGATTTTTTGCGTTTTATCTTACGAACTAAAGAGTAAAAGATTTACTAACTAGTTCGCTTAGGACGTCTTTGGGAGCATTGTTACGCGAACTACACAAGTCTAAGTACTATTAAAAGTGTTCAATGGATAAAATATATTTTGTAAATTCCATATTTAACGTTTAACGTGTATAACTTTTAGAGATAATTCAATATGCTGATCTCATTTTGTGCATTTATTTAAGCACAGTTTATTGTATGTACTTTTAAGTCAATTTTTGTAGAATTTCGACTATTTATTAGATACAATAGAAGTAATTGTGATGGTAGTGTCGTAGCATGTGTCTAATGTAGTAATGTTGGCAATATTTTCTACCAAATTTGGTGAGAGCCTTTAAGAAAAATAATGATGTAATAAGAGGTTAGGTTAATATGTTTTAGTTTCGTTTTTTTTACTTATATTACGTTTATTCGACATAAATGCAATGTTTTGTAGAATATGGAATCAATAATATAA